TTTTCTTATGCTGCTTTTTTGCAAATTGTGCAAAATAATATTTATTTTCATTTTCTTGCACTTCATAAAAATGTGTGTATCTCAATAATGAACGGAGTTGGTCCTGTGGTGAGCTTTAAAGGGTTAATGACGACATTTCTAAACCCACAAGACCGAAAAAGCTCAAGAAAGAAAAGGAATCGGCAGATAGAACTACAGCCCCGTGTGACGAAGCTTTTATTTTGAAAAGAAAAACATGACAGGAAATGAAAGTGGTAGGGGAGGAAAAAAAGAAAACAACTAGCCAAAGCAAATGAGCAGTGATTCAGAGATTAAGCACATAAACTGACCTGGTAATGCCTGAGTCTCTTCACCTCCTCCTCATTGGCCGTCTCGGCCACCTTAAAGACCAGCGACGTCTCGCGAAACCTGAGATTCTCCGTGGGGACGTAACCGTCCAGGAAGATGTTGATACCTGGAGGAAGGATGCAGGAAGATCAGGACATGCTTTGGGTCCACTTAGCGACGGTGATATTAAGGACAAATACCACCACTTGTTTCTTCACACTTTTACAGAGGTGTGGTGCAATAACGTTTTTACCCTCTCTGACGCTGAAGGGCATGGTAACGACTCCATAGGCGCTCGGCACTCCGTACAGACAGCAGATGAAGTCCGACAGGTAGTCCAGCACGCTCAGATCGTGCTCCACCACGATGATGTACCTGCAACGCAACATCACGTTTAAGAGCGGCGGTGCACCTCCAGGGATCAAACCGAAGCTTTGAAGTGACAAACCTGTCGGGGGTGATGAGTGAGCGGATGGTGATGGCGGCCTTCAGCCTCTGTTTAACATCCAGGTAACTGGACGGCTCGTCAAACATGAAACTGCAGCAGAAGAGCAGAAACAAGAGGACGGCGGTCAGTCTGCGAGCTCGGCTCTCAGCTCACAGACAAAACAATACAATGTTTGTTAAATATTAAATAAATAAGCTTTCGGGCTGTTTCCTCACATGTCAGCTCTCTGGATGCAGACGACAGCACAGGCGAACCTCTGCAGCTCTCCTCCGGACAGATCCTCCACGTTTCTCTCCCGCAGGTGACTCAGATCTGCAGACAAACACAGAGATGCAATTAGAAATGTTGTTTATACGCAGCATTAAAAAAAATCCAAAACAGGGGGAAGATCCCTGGGATTAAACGCTTATTTTAAGAATAGGAATAGTTTCTGCACACAAACTGGTTTATCAGCTCCACACGGAGACACACGCTTTCTTTAAATATGACCCATGAAATTACTCTCGTTCCAATGAACTGTGATGTGTCACATGGTCCTCACAAGAGTAAATAGTGTGTATCAACCTAAAAATACTAACACACCACTGTGTTTGTTCATAACGGCACTAAACTGTTTACAGTCGGCATGTAAACGCTTCCACATGAAGGTTCTTCAGCTTGTAATTAAGAGTGTGTGTGTGTGTGTGTGTGTGTGTGTGTGTGGGTGTGTGTGTGTGTGTGTGTGTGTGTGTGTGTGTTGGTGTGTACCAAGTTGTTCGCAGACAAGGTCCTGCGTGTCTGTGTCATCTTTCCTGCTCAGGATGGCCCCTACTGACCCCTGTAGGTGGAGACGAAGAATTACAACCGGCCATCAGAGTGAACGCCCATGCCAACAGGAACGATATATTCAAGGAAAAGTCGGGAACCTTGACGGTCTTTGGGATCTGGTCGACGTACTGCGGCTTCACGATGGCCCGCAGATCGTCCTCCAGGATTTTGGTGAAGTAGTTCTGCAGCTCGGACCCTCTGAAGTAGGTCAGGATCTCCTGCCAGTCTGGAGGATTCTGGGATTTCAAAGTACGGATCATTAAAACACAAAGCTTCTGACAACGAGGTCAATGTGTGGAAATGATCCCCGAGGGTGAAAAACTCCGGGGTCTGTATCAGATCCAGGATGATGAACTGAGTGTCTGCACTGAGGCCTAGTATAACAAAAAGAAGCATTACTTTGAATGTGAATCATGCAAAGCTGGGCTGACAGAGTCCATGTAACCATAACTTGGTGTGTTGTCCTGCACAAGTTAATCTGTTCGTAGCTTTTCAAGCAAAAAGGTTTACTGTGTAAATGTCCCTGAATTCTGTTCCTTGCGACACATCTGTCTTATGGAACAGATGTGCAAATTGTTCTACTTTACTAACAGGAAATATGGGATTTGTAAGGATACTTAAAGAAAATTAATAACAAAAGTGCAAAAATTCCAGAAAAGTATCAGTAAGTTGTGGGTTTACAATGAATGAGCTGAACAACATGAGTAAATGAGTCAAACTGAATTACAAGGGAGGAGTTTTGTTTTTAAATGGAACTTTAGAACCTAATCAAGAATTTCCTTTTGGCTTTGGCTAAAGATTTCAACCATCGTTAGCAGTGAGAAGAGCATGTGATAAAGTTACCCGACCGGTCGGTGGAGCCACACCATAATCTTTTCCTGTTGCTAAACTGATGGCCAGCAAACCAAACATGGCAACTCCACCCAAACATTATCTTCTCAGGCCAGCAGCAACATGACTGCTGGCCTGTGTGTGTGTGTGTGTGTGTGTGTGTGTGTGTGTGACGTGTGAACACTCACATCAAACTTCCCCAGGTTTGGTTTCTGTTTTCCGGCCAGAATTTTCAGAGCTGTGGACTTGCCGATACCGTTGGTCCCCACCAGCCCCAAAACCTCACCGGCCGGGGATAGGCAGCCTGCACCAACACACACACACACACACACACACAACACACACACGACACACCACACACACACACACACACACACACACACACACACACACACACACACACACACACACACAAATACATCTGACCCACCATAACAGACTTCAACATAAGCTAATAATCAAATAATTTCATCATTTAGTGTCAGCTTTCCTTTCAGGTGTTTCTGCTTTGGTTTGACGGCTTTTCTTTGCTGCCATGGTTCTAAAATGACTTCATTGCTGAGCAATAATAATAATAATGAGCTCTTACTTAAACCCAAAGTCTTAGCAGTGTTTCATTACATAGATGGGTTACCTGGGTATGTTTGTGTACTTCAGAGACTTGAAGACTGATTAGTCACGTCCCATGCTTTTATTTTGAAAGTCCAATTGCTGGTATTGAACTAGAGCTGTGCTTCCTGTCATGATGTGACGATCCTCGATGTCATTCAGCTGCCTCTCTTTAATCAGGAATTACTCTGTGCAGCTCCATGAGCCCGTTAGGGTCCGCTTACGTAAAATGACATAAATGTCATCATCAGACGGTTAAGACGAGGGTCTGTGCGGACGTTTGAATGCCGCTGTTTCAGTGACCACGCAGACTCGTCAGCAGAGAACTTGACATGACAGCGCAGCAACTTCTCAGGAATGACTACATGGACAGCAGCTCTCCAGCTGTTCGCGTCTGCAACAGAGTATATTCAGAGTACGGTGGTCGTACAGACTCGGACAGCACCATCACAGCCCTGGGTTAGGACCTCAGTGGAGAGGCAGCTGATTATTGCTTTTATTTAAAGCATAAAAATCATTAACAGTTGAAACATTATTTTTATTATTCTCCCCTCCAAGGTCAACCTCTCACTTTTTAAAGGTCCTCTTGTTGTACGGAGAATGAGCATCAACTTGTCTGGATCATCAGAGCTGGCTCTCCAGCTATGAGCAGTAGCAGGTTCTCAGTTGAGGAGTCCAGCTTCCACCCAGAGGGCATCAAGTGAGAAGAACACTCACAGGGTTGCAGACCTGAGTGGACGTAAACTTCTGTTTGCTGTTGAGATCATCACGTGGAGCTCGATCCCCTTTCACGGATCCTAAATCTCCTCCAGGAAATCAAAAGAGCGATCTTCACTTTTGATTTCATCTCCAGGGAGATTCTTTTATTTGTGTGAACAAAACAACTTGTTTCTCCTCAGATCCCGCGAGATGTTCCAACAGAAGTCCGTGTTGGACAGTGCTGCAAAACCACACCTGACCTGATGTGCAGCCTCCAGGCTGAGAATCTGTGGACCCTCCAAACAAAAACTGAACGCACTATCTATTAACCAGTGTTAACTAAAATTAGAATCATAGCACATGGTGGAGGTGATCAGAACTAAAGGAGCGATCCAAGAATAACAGCTACGCTGGAACTTAATTCCGACCTGTTTCCCGAGGTTTTTGTAACATGTCAGAGGAAACACTGCTCAGCTGTGAAGTGAAGGTAAACAGACTGGAGGTTTATCGCCGTACCGGTGCAGTTTGAAGGAGTTGGCGCAGTATCTGTGTGTGGTTTCCTTCTCCAGGTTGCTGGGAAGGTTGACGATCGACAGTGCTCCAAACGGACATTTCTGCAAGGAGAAAAGGTCACGAAACAAACTTCAAAAACACTCTTAATAGTTTAAACGTTGTGACTAAAAGCAGTCTGAAAAGATCCTGCTAGATATTCAGGCGCTAAGATTACCTTGATGCAGATGCCACAGCCTATGCACAGAGACTCTGAGATCCACACTATCTTACTCTGTGGAGTCACCTCAATACACAGTTTACCTGAAGACACACACGGTTCACATTTAGACACATTTCTCTCTCACTCTAGTTTGTGCCGTCGGTGCGATCATCTCCACACTCACCCATACGGACGACCGGGCAGCTCTTCTTGCACTCCTGACGGCATTTCTTAGGTTTGCATTTGTCATGGTTGACGATGGCGATCCTGGTGTTCTTATCCGCCATGATTGAGGGCGGGAATGATGGACGTTAGCACCTGTGGAGCTGGAGAAACAAATTGATATCTGAGGAGCTGGTTTTGAGAAAATGTGATTAAACATACAAAGAGAAACAGGAACAATTTATAAACTGAGTCATGATTAGCATGCAGCTGCCCAAAACCATCCAAAAAGTCTCTAAATGTAGAGTGCAGCAGTCGGGGTCAAACCTGCGTCCACATGCACAATGTTAACTCTGCTGAAACAACACATTCGCTTCTGAACAAACGCTCTTTTTATTCAACAATAGAGTGCTGCAAATCTCCTGCCTAAACCAGCCTCTGGCTGCATTTAATACCTGCTGTCTTTAATTCTGATCCTGGTCTGGTGTGTGCGTATCTAGGCCCCCAGGAGTCGGGCCCATTTGAGCTTTGCAGTCTTTTGTAAAGGAAGAGCGAGCCACACCAGGGTCCATTTAAAATTCTGCCCTTTCATCGTTGCTTCACGTCTGTACGCATGTGTCTGGAAACACCCGCTTCAACTCATTTAAACAATCTGTGCCCAACTTTCTTTTTAGTTCGGCATTAATTTAACTCATAATATTAATTATTTTAACTAGCTGTATTCTAGCATGACGGGCGGTGGCGACGAGCATCAAACTAGGGATTTCTCCTCCAATAACGCGCTGATCTGTGGTGCATACATATGCCGAATTAATAAACTACCCATAAACACTTTAAAAATGTCTTGGAATTATAATCTCATGACTGTCTGCTACGGTGAGTGATGTGAAACATCATAACTTGGGAGATTTACGAATGGAATTTGGCGCATGATCTTGTCGGTAAAAGAAAACGCAATATTTTCAGGGCCCGTCTCTCAGCAATACGAGCAAACAGGGGAAACCACACTGACTGACTCCCAACAAGCTGTAACCATACAATTACACTGGATAACGGACCAATTATAAAGAGACGCTTGTCCGGTGGAAGCGAAGTTTAGGATGTTCATTGGAGAATGCTAACGGCTAGCTTCACGATATTAGCAGCGGAGGCCCAGCAGCCCGACATCTGCTCGTTTCTGTGGCAATAAAAACGTCAAAAGCAATAATATCCAGGGCGATGAGTACGCAAACTCACCCTTATCCGGCTCCAGCTACCCTGTTAAGAAGGGATTAGAAGAGAAGACACGTTTAGAGACAAAAACTGTGGGGTGAAACTTCTGTTTTTTTTCCAGCAACGTGTTCCTCTCACGGGCTGGAAGCCGGCAGGAAAGATGGCGGGAGTATCGCAGATAGCATGCGACTGCTTGCTCAGCGCTGGTGACGTGTATAAGAAGCGACGCTGAGGCGCAAAAAAGTGGGAGATTCGAAGTGTGTAAATAGAAGCGGATTTAAACTATTTTGGACGTGCAGCCGTATTTCTGATGCACTGACACGACACCCCGGAGACCTGTACTAACGTGTCTGTGAGTCGGCTTCAATAACTGTGACGTAGATTGAGTTTTAGTGGTTTTGAGAGCGTTTAGAGTTGAGAAGTGTCAGCTGCTGGCGACTAGCTAGTCATAAATAACTCCCAAATAAGTCACTTTTTAGCTGAAATGGATGCTCTAGCTTTGTCATTTAGACGAAGAAGTTTACCAAAAGGTCCCCTTATTCCTAAACAGAACTTACATTTTCTGTATTTTCTATTAAATGTTAATAGAGCTCGAAATGTTTAAAATATGCATAAAGGTTTGCGTCTGGTTATAATCTAGTTAAAATAGATGGTACCAGTAGTTATATTTATAAGCCGAACTTTACCTAATGGTCAGCTTATTATTAAAATACAGTTATATTTGCTTCGTTGATTAAGTTGTATTTACTAAGTGTGAATAAACCTTAAAATATCGAAAACATGAACAGACGTGGGTGCTAGGTTACTGATCTCCATGAACCTTTTGAGAAAAACGCGTCAGATTTTCCATCAGAGTGTGCTGAACTTGTGTTTTTTTGTTTTAAAGTATGGCGACACCGAGCAAGACACCACCTGGAGCTGACCCGAAGCAGCTGGAGCGGACCGGGACGGTTCGGGAGATCGGCTCCCAGGCGGTGTGGTCCCTCTCTTCCTGTAAACCTGGTAAATACACCCTCACACCCCCCCGCCCTGCATACAGTCTGGTGTGTGAACAGATGACTGTAAACATCTTTCAGAAGTGGACACAATCTCAGAAATTGTGTTATTTTTCTCTTTGGAGCTGTTCATATGCATATCCACATTTTCACAGCGTAGTAAGCAGTTTGCATTACTGCACAATTGCCACGTTTGGATCAATTTCAGAGGCCGTTGGGATCAATTCTAGTCTGATGTGTTTGCCCTCTACGTGTCCAGGTTTTGGAGTGGATCAGCTAAGGGATGACAACCTGGAGACCTACTGGCAGTCGGATGGGTCGCAGCCTCACCTGGTCAACATACAGTTCAGGTAACGTTTTCCAGCTTCTGTACAAGAGAAGTTAAAGTAAACCTGGAAAATGTACATTATCTTTAACTGGAAGGTGTTGTTAATTTTATTTGTGTGTGCTGCTGCTGACAGAACCTTACTCTTTTGCTTTGTCATTAATTCACTTTCTTTAATATGTGACCTGTGGAGTAAAGGAGGAGGACGACAGTGAAGATGTTGTGCATTTATGCTGATTATAAGTCAGACGAGAGCTACACCCCGAGTAAGATCTCGGTGCGAGTCGGCTACAACTTCCACAATCTTCAAGAAATCAGGGTAAAGCTTAGTGTATATATCTCAATAAAATAAATAATTAATAAAAATAATCTGGTTTTCATCCGGAGGTTTCAAAATCACTCAGACCCTCCTCTTCCTCGTCTTCCCCTCTGCAGCAGCTGGAGATGGTGGAGCCCAGTGGATGGATTCACATCTCTCTCATGAATCCAGTAAGAATTAATATTTTTCCAACCTTTAAATTTTACCAAAACAGGACTCTGTAACATCCTGCTCTGTGGTCTCTGTTTGCATTTCTGATTGTCTCTGGTCGACAGGGTGTAACTGAATGTAAAGCCTTCGGTCAGGGGACAGAATCCAGTCATTTACTCACTGTGGAACATTTGAAGGCTTACCATCTGTATAAACGTGTAGATGTAAATACTGACACCCAGCCACAGTGACTGAAAGACGGAGAGAGACATTTGTGCCCTTATTTTGCACTCTTTCCCATAATGGCCAAAGTCAGGGAACTAAAGTCTCTGTGCAGTTAACTACTACACCTACTGATTAGAAAGTGTGCAGATTTCCCTCCACAGGCGACTGTTCAGTGTTTTTATAGAAGGAAACAACAGCACTGACCATTTAATCGCTGCCTTCATTGTCTGTGCTGAGCCGACGTGTAGTTGGCATTCAAAGGAGGGGCAGGTTGTAGAAGTAAGCTTTCAGAAGGGTTTGTGGTTATGATGATGTACAGCGGATAACAAAATTATTCGTTCATTGTGCAATGACCATTCATTCGTTAATTCATACCTTCTTTGCACTTTTTATCCACTTTAAAGTTTATTGTGTTGTTTTGTTGTGTTTAGTGCTGAAAGGGGACAGTTTTCTAATTTCACTGTATTTTTGTACAAAGTGTGACTGTGCGATGACAATAAGAGTTATCTTATCTTAAAATCAAGAGAACAAAGAAGTTCTGTAAAAACGTGTAAACAAACAAACAAAATTAAAAATGACTGAATTCATGTTTTTGTACCTAAACCTGAGCCGGAACTCAGACATAACATTCGACCACCATAAAAAAGTTTTTATGAATGCAAGCAAATAAATGTAATTTGGAATCTTGATTCAAAAATAATATTGTGCTTTACACTTTTATTCTTTGTTTTTGGTAAGACAGTAAATTTAAATAAAATGCATGGATAACAGCAAAAATTATTTATTAGCATTAAAAATGAACGTTTTATGAGCACTGGGTGCTTCTGCTTGTACACATTGGTGACTTAACCATTACAGAAACATAAAAAGTGAATTTGATCATTATAAATACTGTTCATTTAGGGTGGCATAAACCTTACACTGGCCGGTGGTCTGATAAATTTGTGAAGCACTGTTCCTGCAAAAATAGACGTAATGCAGAAAAATAAGGCGGCGCTTCTCCACCTACGACTTGTGGGGGTCTTTACATGCCACCAAGTGCAGTAACCTACAGCTCTTATGATTGGACAGTGACTATACACTTGTGTGTTTTGTTTGTTTTTCAACTCAGGGGAGCTAGAGATGCGTTTTTGTAAATTCTTGTGTTTAAATATGGTTAAAAATGTCATTACAACATTAACAGAATGTAAAAGAAAAGCATGTGCTGTTATGTAATACCAGTTTGTACCACAAGATGGAGCAGTGAGTCAGTCTAATGAATGCAGCGCTCCCCAATCTCTGGGCCACCGACTGGAGAGTTGAGGCTCAGGTGTGAAATTTATGGTTTTCATCGTTTTTATGGTAACTCTGTTTCTCTGGGTCTTTTCCCATGTGTTATGTATAAATCCTCTTTTTTTCTTTTTTTTGGTAATGGTACTGCTTTTATTTTGTTGTATTTATCCGCGACACCTTAAAGGCCGGTCCGTGGCACAGAAAAGGTTGGGGACTGCTGCTGTAATATTTATTTAAGCAGCACATTCTTCTCAATGGGAGCACCTAACACAGAAACATTGAACTTAAACAGAACAGCACAACAGGTTAAAGTTGTAGTTAAAATTAGCAGATTATAAGTATCTTTAAAGAAGTGGCTTGATGCTCGGTCACTCTGTGGGTGTGTGTGTGTGTGTGTGTGTGTGTGTGTGTGTGTGTGTGTGTGTGTGTGTGTGTGTCTCGGTTGTTTTTCAGCGCACAAACGAGCCCATCAGCACATTCATGATCCAGATCGCCGTGCTGGCCAACCACCAGAACGGGAGAGACACGCACATGAGGCAGATCAAAGTTTACACACCCGTGGAGGAGAGCTCGATCGGCAAGTTCCCACGATGCACCACGGTCGACTTTATGATGTACCGGACCATCAGGTGATCTGGACGTGACCCAGGAACCCCAACAGACTTATATCTGGAGCTGCTGCAGATCATTATCAATGAGAGGAACATCAGTGAAGCTGCCAGTGTTGAATATTTAAAGATGTTCAGTCAGAGTCATAGACCCAGTCAGTGTTGGTTTACATGCTTTAACAATGAGTTTCCACACAGAGTGAATGCTTTGATATGAATTTGGTTCCTAAATTTAACCTTTTTGTCTCTCGCAGTATAAAAAAATGTTTGTGCCTACACATTGTTTCCTGTTGTGGATTGTTAATAAAAAGGTAAAAAATAAATGTTTCAAAAATCCAGAATGTGACTGTGTTCGTGTAGAAAACTAACTTTATTCTGTAGCTGTGCTCAGTCTTATGCTTCTTGGTTTAGTCACAGATGTTGTTGCTTTACTTGAAGAAAATGAGGTTTGAAAACAGTAATACGTTGATGATGCAGGAAAATGTTCTATTCTGCTGATGTTGGACCTCAGTCGGCCTTTGATATGGTTGACCACCACTTTTCTGTAGCGGTTTCTAAGTGCAGGTCATCCTTCACTTCCCTTACCTATGGTGTGCCACAAGGTTCTGTATTGGGACCCTTATTGTTTCTAATATATCTACTTCCTTTTCAGCATATTTTGAGCCCCTTTGAGTAGGGCTGTGCGATATGACCAAAATCTCATATCCCGATATAAGAATTCTATCGTCCCGATAACGATATAAATCACAAAAATGTAACATTTTCTGTAAATTCTGTGAATCTCGGGCAGCTCGACTTGCGGGAAGTGTTTCCAGCTGCGCGTCATGTAGCTGGAGTCGAGTGTTTTAACCGATGCATGAAACGATACATTTTTAGACATAAGTTGTAACGGCCGCCGTTTTCTTTGTGAGTATTTATTACACGGCGTGCTGCGGGGAAAAGCCTGTTCTAACGTTTGAGTCTAAGGTTTATTTTTTAGCACCTGGCGGCTCTTTTTTACTTCTCATCCGTAAATAATCTGCTCTTTCACGTGATTCAGTTTATTTTGAAAAGTCTCAACAGGATCTTGAGCTTTATTGTGAAAGGTTTATGTGGAACATAAACAAGCGGACACGCGATGGTTACCGTCATTGTTGCTAACGACAACGCATAAAAACAGGCGCTTGTCCGTCCGTAGTGTGGTTATATTAAATATAAGAGAAAGAGAGAACTTTAAGAAATTAATATAGCCACTACAGTGACCATCAAAACGATGAAAAAATATTGCCGTAAACAGTTTATTTTGCGACACCACGAAACAAATGATAGCGTAAAATGAAACGATAGCTGTTTTTATATCGTCATCTGATATATATCGTTATATCGAACAGCCCTACAGTAATGCGTTGTGCTGGCAGACATGCACTTACGATGATGAAAGCTCTAGGTCCCCTTTCGACATTTGTGAAATCGTCTATCAGGAACCTTGGGGTAACTTTTGACTTTCCTCTTACTTTGGATGTTCAAATCTCTGGTTCCGTCTTTCTTTTATCACTTATCACTGCTACATTAAGTCCTGTAGTGTCACACACTGAACTGGAGGTGGTTATACATGCATTTGTTTCATCATGTTTGGACTATTGTAACTCACTGTTTATATGTCTAAACAAAAACTCCTTGGAACAAAACTCTGCAGCAAGGCATAAACTTAAAATCTCAGTTTTTTACTGTCACATAAGTGGTTGCCTGATTCACATGTTGCTGCAGTTTGTAGTCACAGTAGTTGCTCTAGCTTCACTTTTACTAGCTCTTGCTGCAGTTTAGCTGCCTAACTTTCCATCTGTAGTTTCAGATGTTAAGTAGTATCAGTGTTTGATTAAGTTGTGGAAGTTTCCATAACTAGCACCAGATGGCGATGTAGCTTGGGTATTTCATTTAGTTGCACCAGTTTCAGCTGCTGGTATAATTTATTTGTATCAGTTACTCAAGTTTCAGTCATTTCAGTTTCACTAACTTGACAATGTTGGTGTTGTTAGTTGCAGGCATGGTGTCAATGGTTGCTTCATTGCAGTGGTACTTTCACCCGTAAGCGTAGGTGCAAATCTTGAGATACTTGCCATGTTTAGTTTTAGCCATTACAGTTTTATAATTCCTGTAGTTTCAGAGGCTGACTCATTTGCAGGAGTTGCAGTTATACATATTGCTGTGGTCTCATTGGGTGCTGAATATATATTTATTTGCAAGTGTTGTTTGCATTTGCTGATTATGTATTTACAGATTTTTAACTGACTAGGAGGTAACGGATAAAAATGCAAACTACAAACAGACCTATGATGTTTAAAGTTACTAAACAGTGTCTACTTCAAACTGTTCTTCCTGGTAAAAGCTAAAGTCTGTTAACTCCTCCCTCTTCTACCTGAAGCACAGCAGCTCCAGTCTGTCCACATATTTTCTGGAATAGTTTCACCACTATGTAACAGAAACTCACACAGTCACTGACACTGAGAGGAGAAATGGCACAGAAAGGAGTTCAGCTGGACCGAGAAACCTTCTCTTGTTCCATCTGTTTGGATCTACTGAAGGATACGGTGACTATTCCCTGTGGACACAGCTACTGCATGAACTGTATTAAAATGCACTTTGATGAAGAGGAACGGAAGGGAATCCACAGCTGCCCTCAGTGCAGACAGACTTTCACAGCGAGGCCTGTCCTGGAGAAAAACACCATGTTAGCAGCTTTAGTGGAGCAGCTGAAGAAGACTGGACTCCAAGCTGCTCCAGCTGATCACTGCTATGCTGGACCTGAAGATGTGGCCTGTGATGTCTGCACTGGGAGGAAGCTGAAAGCCATCAAGTCCTGTTTATCTTGTCCAGCCTCTTACTGTGAGAAACACCTTCAACCTCACTATGATGCAGCTCCATTAAAGAAACACAAGCTGGTGGCCCCCTCCAAGAAGCTCCAGGAGAACATCTGCTCTCATCATAAAGGCCATGAAACAGTCCCAGCTGCAGCAGAAAGGACTGAGAAGCAGAAGGAGCTCGAGGTGAGACGACTAAACATCCAGCAGAGAATCCAGGAGCGAGAGAAAGATGTGAAGCTGCTTCAACAGGAGGTGGAGGCCATCAATGGCTCTGCTGATAAAGCAGTGGAGGACAGTGAGAAGATGTTCACTGAGCTGATCCGTCTCCTCCAGAAAAGAAGCTCTGATGTGAAGCAGCAGGTCAGATCCCAGCAGGAAACTGAAGTGAGTCGAGTCAAAGAGCTTCAGGAGAAGCTGGAGCAGGAGATCGCTGAGCTGAAGAGGAAAGACGGCGAGCTGGAGCAGCTCTCACACACAGAGGATCACAACCAGTTTCTACACAACTACCCCTCACTGTCAGCACTCAGTGAGTCTACACACTCATCCAGCATCAATATTCGTCCTCTGAGCTACTTTGAGGATGTGACAGCAGCTGTGTCAGAGACCAGAGATAAACTACAGGACATTCTGAGAGAGGAATGGACAAACATCTCACTGACAGTCACTGAAGAGGATGTTTTACTGTCACCAGCAGAGCCAAAGACCAGAGCTGGATTCTTAAAATATTCACATGAAATCACACTGGATCCAAACACAGCACACAGACATCTGTTATTATCTGAAGGGAACAGAAAAGTACATTAATGAGACAAAAACAGACTTACTCTAATCATCCAGACAGATTCACTGATTATTATCAAGTCCTGAGTAGAGAGAGTCTGACTGGACGTTGTTACTGGGAGGTGGAGTGGAGAGGGGGTGGAGTTGATGCAGCAGTCGCATACAAGACTATCAGCAGAGCAGGAGAGTCAGATGAATGTGGATTTGGATTTAATGACAACTCTTGGTTATTGAGCTGTGACAGAAAAAGTTGCAAATTTTTGCACAAGAAAGTCCAAACTGTCCTCTCAGGTCCTCGGTCCTCCAGAGTAGGAGTGTACCTGGATCACAGAGCAGGTATTCTGTCTTTCTACAGCGTCTCTGAAACCATGACTCTCCTCCACAGAGTCCAGACCACATTCACTCAGCCGCTCTATGCTGGACTTTGTCTTTTTATTGATCATGGAGACACTGCAGAGATATTAAACTGAAATAGACAGAAGTCACTGAAGGACAGCTAGTTCCTGTTTCTTTGGTCTCCAGCATTGCTGTCAACAGTGATGGAGATTTTGAAAAGCGGTCAGAGTGGCACCAGAAAGTTCTTTGAAAGTAAATTCTGCTAGACCAAAAACAATTTCTAATTAGCTTGTATGAAGAAGATCATAAAATCTAATAAAAATGAACAAACATTAATGAACTTCCGTTTTTATATCAAGAAGACACTAGTATTATAAATGTAATTGTTTTATTATGAATAGTATTGTCTAAGCTCACAGATCAAATGTTACACTCTGAATAAGACTTTTAATTTCAGTCCTTCCAGCACACAAAATCACACGTATTCTACTAGAGAAGATGTGGATTTTATAGACACTCAATCTGAAGACTTGCTTAATGTAAACCCTCCTGTGTGAAGTTTGTTACATGTTTGAACTGATACATGCTGATTTTCTTTTTTGTTGTTGTTGATTTTTGTGTTTTAACACAGAGGAGTTATTTGGTTATTTGAAGAAATATTGAAATGAAAATCTTGATTTGAATCATCTGCTGCTGTGGCATATGTAACTCATTACTGGTATTTTTTTTTATATCAGGTGTGGCTATAACTTAGACTTTCTGCTGGTCTGTTTTCTGACCTTAATCATGTTAGATAGTGTTTTCCAAAGCGATTCATGATGATAAAAAAAAAATTTTTAAAAAGTAAAATAAATGTACATGTCCAAACGGTTCTCATGTTCTCTCCTGTTTCTGAACGCATAACATAGAGACGTGTTGAGTGGCCGAAAGCGTAACATACCAACAAGTTGTCTCGTAGCGTAGTATGTTACGTTTTGGGATGAGAACATGTTGGAAAAACCAGCAGAAGGCACAATGCAGTGTTTCTGACATGTGATTGGATGAGCAGCCTACAGCCCGCCTCCAAAGTCTCCCAGTGATTATGCAGATGAGGAAACTGATGTGTTTGCCAGAGAGTACAAAGGTGTTCAACCATGAACTTAGCACAACAAGTGAAACACACACACATACACTCTAAACCCTGATCTGACTCATGCAGATGATTCAGTATCTTTCTGTGCCCTTCCTGTTTAGCTGCTTTTGGACGAATCCTGATTCTCTTTCTCTGCTTTGGTTAAGCAAACAGGTTTGATTCGTTGGTCATGAGTGACGTGTTTAGCAAAAAACAAACAAACAAAAATATGTTGTTGGAGACTGTCTCTCATTTACAAATTTCCTCTGGCTGC